AAGCGGAAGTGGCTACTTCTTCCCAAGGCGGTGAGAAAGCTGAATCAGTCTTTAAGGCAAATTTTACAAAATTTAAAGACCCCCAAACCGAGATATGGTACGCCACTTGCAAGCATTGCCCAAAGAAGTATAACTTGGGAACTTCTGGAGGGTACGGGAGCGCCACAAGGCATCTTAAGGCCAAGCACCCGGCGGAATATGCGAAATCAGACAAAGGCAAGGGAAAGCAAACACAAATTTCAAGATTTGGAAGTGGCCAACCCTTCGGTAATTTCTCCTATGATGATCAAAGACATTTGACTGGTATGTCACATTTGATTGTTGAAGAAAATTTGCCTTTTATTTTTTCCGAAAGTCTTGCTTTAAAAGAATATGCTCAAGGTACTTTAAATCCTCAATTTCGAAACTATAGTCGCAAAACAATTAAAAAAGAAGTTATAAGGCAATATGTTTTGGAAAAGGAAAAATTACAAATATTTTTCGCAAACTTTGATGGCCGTGTTAGCATATGTAGTGATATATGGGAGGATACTCATCATCATTTATATTATTTGGGTTTGACTGCACATTATATTGATGATGATTGGTGTATGCATAAACGTGTTCTTGCTTTTCGTGAATTTAATGATCGACACACCGGCGATAATATTTATATTCTCATTGAGCGTATTTTAGTTGAGTATAATTTGATTGATAAGGTGTTTGCTATTGGTTTTGATAATGCTACTAATAATACTGCGGCTATTCCTAGATTGCGTGAATTGTGTGGTTCATCTTCTTTGATGGGTAGGTTTTTTCATCAGCGTTGTGCATGTCATATTTTAAATTTATGTGTAAAGGACGGTCTTGCGGCGTTGGGAGATGCTTTGGAGGTGGTCAAGGGGGGGATTAAACTGATTTGGGCTAGTAATCCACTTAAGATGCAATGGAGAAATTATTTGAAAGAAAGACGTGTCAAATATTGTGCTTTTCCTAAAGATTTGTCTATTCGTTGGAATAGTACTTATAATTTAATTAAAGTGCTTATTAGATATAAAAACCATTTTCCCGCTTTTTTAAGAGAATATGCTAACTATATTATAAACCCGGCCGATATCGACACTTGTGAAAAAATTGTGAATGTTTTGGTGTTTTTTAATAATGCCACTGAAACTTTTAGTCATGTTTATAAACCTACCGCAAACCAATTTTTTGTTGAAGCTGTTAATCTCGCCGGCGCTTTTTCTGAATTCTCTGACGCCGCTTACGTTAGTTATTTTTGTGACTTCATGAAACAAAAGTTTTTAAAATATTATTCCTATATTCCGCATATATATGGTATTGCATTTGTTCTTGATCCTCGTTTTAGACTTTATTCTTTGGAGAAATGTTTAGATTACTATTATGCTTCTTTTTTTGGTCCATTGCCTATGTACGACGACAAGGCCATAGACCCTAAACAACAATTCCAAGAGGTTAGTAATTTATTATATCAATTATTTAATGAGTTTCATGCACAATATGGTAACGCACCCCCTCCCCCGCCACGAACATCTTCTTCATCTAAAGGAAAATCAATTTTCAAATCTGCATTTGGCAATCTTATGAAAAAAAGTAAATCAACTCCGGTTAATGAACAAAGCTCGATCAACGAGCTTTCTTTGTATCTAACATTTCCTGTTGATTATGAAGAAGGGGATGACTTTGACGTTCTTCAGTGGTGGAAGGAAAAAGAGAGAACGTTCCCGATCTTATCAAAGATGGCTAAGCAAGTGCTAGCAATGCCGGTATCAACAGTTGCTGTGGAACAAGAGTTTAGTGCGGCCGGCAACGTCCTAACGGATTATAGAACGAGATTAAGCGCAAACTCTCTTGAGACGCTTGTTTGCTTCCACGATTGGTTGAAGGCCAAACGTAGAACTCAAGAAATAAGCATTGAACCCACTCGCCACTTTATGGAAGAAACAACTGAAGATGGAGGAAATTCTAATTGATTCATACTTCATTACTTATTATAAAGTGTATTTCATGTTTTTATTTTTACTCAATTTTCAATTGTACTACAAATATCAAATAAATATGTTTTACCCTTTTTTATGTCCAAGTAATATTAATTTAATTTTGGTATCAAAAAAAAAAAAAAAAAAAATTAAAGCCCGGGCCCGGCCCGGCCCGGCCCGGACCCGACCGGGTCGACCCGGCACGAACCGGACCCGGTATCACCCCGGGCCGGTTCCGGGCCCAACAATCCCCAAAAAAAGCCCGCCCGGGCCCGGCCCGGAACCGGAACCGGCCCGGCCCGGGTCCATCCCTATCTCCAACCATTGATCATTGGGCTGCAGTAGAACACATATTATGTTACTTAAAGGGTGCACCAGGACGAGGTATTGTTTATCAAAATCATGATCACATGAGAATAGAATGCTTTGCAGATGCTGATTGGGCCGGTTCTAAAGATGATCGAAGATCTACATCTGGTTATTGTGTCTTTGTTGGTGGTAATCTTGTATCTTGGAAGAGTAAGAAGCAGAATGTGTTTCTCGTTCGAGTGTCGAATCAGAATATCGAGCTATGACACAATCTGCATGTGAGATCATATGGATAAGCCATCTATTGACCGAGCTCGGACTGAAGACATCAATACCTGCTAAATTGTGGTGTGATAACCAAGCTGCTATACACATAGCAAACAATCCTGTATTTCATGAGAGAACAAAGCATATTGAGGTCGATTGTCATTTTATTCGAGAGAAGATACAAAAAGGATTGATCTCTACAGGATATGTGAAGACTGGAGAACAACTTGGGGATTTGTTCACTAAAGCACTAAATGGAATTCGAGTTGGTTATTTATGTAACAAGTTGGGCATGATAAATATCTATGCTCCAACTTGAGGGGGAGTGTGAAAGTATATTAGAATATACTTTAGAATATGCTTTAGAATATATTAGGAATATACCATATATAGTATTATTGAATAGCATCTTTTATAGGAATATTCTATCTTTGTAATCTATATTTATAGGGCTTTACCTTTCAATGAAATATACAGAAAATTCTTCTCTCCATCTTTAATATCATTCTAGTTTATATTTCAACTAGAATGATGATGATGACACTCCCTTTCCGTTCTCTAGCTTTTCTCGGCTGTTAATTGTATAAGAATACATTTATTTGTTGTCCTTTTAAGCGGATGTTAACCATTTATATCAATAATTTTGTCCTACCAACCCAGCAGCGTTATCATGCTTATTAAATCAATAATTTCAATTATAACTTGGTACTCACATCATCAACAAGAGCTTTCTGATGCATTTCTTATACCTCTTTCAATTAACTCTTCCCTTTTATTTTTTCCTATGTCAACTCCTTAACCCGAACAAAACAACTATAGACCAAATTAAAGCTTTGTATTGGAGAAGTGCGAAAAAGAACCCGAGTTGAGGAAAGGCAAGCAAACAGAAAAACTACGCGATCAACAAATTTTTACCATGCTTCACTGCTCTTTCAGAGAATCTTCTTATGCTGGCTTTTTAGGTGGATCCTATATTGTTGTTTAATTCTTATGAGGCAACAAGGCAACACCAAGTCACCAACCATTTTTATTTGCTAAAGTTCGTTGAATTTCAGAAACAGAAGGCAACCATGTACTACGTATTTGTTTACCACTGTTTAATAAATTAATTTCTTATATGTACTTTAGCAGATGTGCATTTGCACCTCAAGGGCGTATTGAACTATTTGCACCCAAGGCCAAACGTTAGAGCATCTCCAATGCTATAATGTGCACGGTGCACATGTGGCATGAGTGATAACCACATAAATATTAGCAAATAAATTATCTCTCTCTTTATTTGAATGATTTTATACAATTTTGGTACGTTTTTTCCTGCAATGTCAACAACAATGTCAACATCTAGACGGTCTCCTTGACATTGTAGAGAAAAACTTGCCAAAACTGTATAAAATCATTCAAATAAGGAGAGAAAGTATTTATTTACTAATATTTATGTGGCTATTTCTCATGACACGTGTGCACCGTGCACATTATAGCATTGGAGATGCTCTTAGAGCATCTCCAATGCTATAATGTGCACGGTGCACATGTGGCATGCGTCATAGCCACATAAATATTAACAAATAAATAATCTCTCTCCTTATTTGAATAATTTTACACCATTTTGGTAAGTTTTTCCCTGCAATGTCAACAACAATGTCAACATCTAGACGGTCTCCTTGACATTGTGGAGAAAAACTTACCAAAAGTATATAAAATCATTCAAATAAGAAGATAAAGAATTTATTTACTAATATTTATGTGGTTATATCTCATGCCATGTGTGCACCGTGCACAATTTACCATTGGAGATGCTCTTAGGAGTTTAGCTACACATTGTGACCATCTGACACCAGTGATGGAGCAAAGTGGGGCCTAGAACCTACTTGAGATCAAATGGGAGTCAGACAGGACTTAAGTGAAATCAGGCAGTATTGCATCTAGGTGGTGATCAATAACGGGTAGGCGTGGACTTTACCGAAGACTCAGTAGGTCATATCAGTCTTGACAAAAATTTTGCTAGTTACCCAAGGATATTAAGATGACAACACTTACATCACCATGAGGAGCTTGATTTTCACCAGGCTAACTTATTTTACTACCCAAGCTGAATCAGCTGATAATCCAATGATATTTAGGCATAAGTTACTTTTTACGCCAAAAATAATTAAAATGAAAAGCCTTCAATTTTAGATATTATTTTCTTCAATTTATTTGAAATTTATTTCGATTCATGTCATGTGATGTGACTAAGTTATACGGTGGTTGTCACGTGGCTACCACAACACCCTACTCCTTTGTCCTAGCTTGGGACAAGCATGATACTACAAAAATGATCTAAATTTAGTCAGTTCAGCTACAACTTCAACTGATTTAGCCCCTTCAACCATTTTAGGTCTTACCAAAAGGATTCTTAAAACACAAAAAAATGTATAATTAGCTATGAATATAGATAAATCTAACCTGCCATAACATCCAATGAAGTAACTTTGGCTTCGTGTCCAGTTAGCGTCTTAACAGGCTTAAAGTCTCTTGATGACCACACCTGAAACCAAGTGCAAATTTTAAGTGTTCAAAGAATGAGAGCAGCAAACCGAACCAAATTTACACAGCTGACATACCTTCGCAGTCATATCATATGAAGCCGTCACCAAAAAGTATCCTTCTTGAGGTTCAAATTTAACTTGGGATATGAGATTTGAGTGGGCAGGTATAGTGTAGAGAGATTTTCTCTTCCTCAGATCCCAAATTCGGCAAGTATTGTCTTCACCGCCAGTAGCTAAATGGTACCCATTTGGAGAAAAACTGATACCAAGAACCTGAAACCATCATTAAAATAGATTGTTACTTGTCCATAAATCACAAAGTATATCTTTTGCCTAAATGCAGTAAAACGAAAATCAAATGAAAGGAAAAAGAAAAAACATCCACCAATGGCTTGTTTGGCACTTGGAAAATGATAGAAAAAACAGGAAACAGACTATATGCAAATTATATTGAAAGAGAATATCATCATTTCAATCATCATTTACCCCAGTGCTGCAAAGGCTCCCAAGTCCCACCTACAGTGGGATAAGGGGAGGTCGGATGTACGCAGTCTTACCCCTGTACTAAAGCACAAAGAGACTGTTTCCGGATGACCCATAATGAAAACCGCGTCCAAAATTTCCGGATGGACTGACAGTTTGGTGAGCCATTTTGCTTTATTCCATCATATTCTCAAGCCAACAAATAATGAATCTTTGGCTCCATTGCAAATGATGGAAATTATATTGAAAGAGAATGTGGGGAGATAAAAGATATGCTAAAACTGAATGCATATTCTTTTAGATTTTTTTATACTCAATTTATTTTATCTATGCATACATACAGAAATCAGTTCTTGTTTGCTAAGGATTATTTGGCTAAAATAGTTCAATCCGCTGGATTTGATGAAAGGAAAGGCATTCACTGAATTTGATTTCAGCCAAATAAATGCTGTACTTATTGTAATTATTATGCTGATAAGAACAAGAAAATTAATGTTGCCAAATAGGCTCTAAGAAATCTGAATATATGTAAAAAAATATATATATTTCATTTCCTTTGAATTGTAAAAGACAAATAAAAATAAGAAAATGATTGTTGTCAGCATATAACTTCCTATAGTGGCATTTCCGGTGATCAAAACATACATATAGTAAAAAACTTACAGGTTTAACATGGCCTTCAAAAGCAAGAACACTTCTTCCTGTCCTAAGATCCCAAACACGGGCAAGTGAGTCTAGTCCACAAGATGCAGCCAAGGAGCCATCATGGTGAAAAGATAGTCCATACACACTCCTACTGTGTCCTTCCTGAAGAAGCAACTCTTCACCGGTTTCCACATCCCATAAACGCCATGTCTTGTCAAAGCTAGTTGTGCCCAAGTATTTTCCAGTTGGATGGAAGGCAATCCGTGCTAGACGATCCAAATGGCCCTCAAAAGTCCTCAAAAGAGACCCTTCTGTATTCCACAATCTTGCCGTTCGGTCAGCAGAGGCAGTAGCTAGATGATTGCATGTTGGAGAGAATGCAACATCAGTAGCTCGCTCATGATGTCCCTTAAGGGTAGAAACCTTCTTTACATGAGGCATGCTCCATAGCTTTGCTACTCCACTTAGAGAACTATACATATACAAAGATTACAGAAATAATCAGCAAGCTGTTGAAGGATTCTAAAGATATGCACATCTAAGAAAATTCAGACTCTAGAGAGAAAGAGAGATTAGGGGAACTATAATACAATGAATGGAAGCCTAGTTTAGTCTTGATAGCATTTAAAAGTGTATTTCAGTTGTTGGATTATGGAGGAATTTCAGAACAACGGACAACATCAACTTACAAAAAGATGGTATAAAAAGATATCTTTTAAATCTTCAGTTCAAAAGAAAGCCAAATGTGACATCTATGAATATAAGTAATAGCATTCACTTAAGAATGAAGGAGGGTCTAAAGTAAAAGAAGCAAGTGTTTCCTCCATCCCAATACAAAAGAGTCGCCTCCCAAACTTTTTTATCCCAAGAAAACAGTCCAGTTTCAGAACTTTTATTTTTGAAGTAATATTCCTGCAAATCCAAGCAGCAAGCAGTTCTACTCAATTACTCAAAAACTTGAGAATAAGTTTTTAGAGGCCCATGTGACCTTTTCATAATTTTTGCAAAAGCTTCACCTTGATTTAGTTGACTAAATATAAAAAGGTATACCATACTAGCATCGGACTCTTTTTGGGATGGGGAGAGTGCATGTGACCATATTATCTATCATAAAGTGGAAACGACAACAGAACTATTTCATAACCAAATCATAGCCACATGCTTATAGTATAAAAAAGTGTACAACGAAAAAATAACTGCATGTGCATAGAGTAGACCAGAAATTCCAAAAGCCAAAAACATGATCGTAGCAGTTTAGCACAATGAATTCTCCCATTGCACTGGAGCTTTATACAGACCCACACACACTACCGCCATCCCAAAATGGTCTCCCTATTACCTTTTAAAGAATGCTTTGTGAGGTTGCTATATATATACACATACATATATATACATATAGTAGGGATCATATGAGAACATGACCTAAGGAGAGAAGTGAGAATGATTCTATATTGTGCATCATGTAAAACAGAAACGTGCATATTAAAAATTGGAAAATGTGCATTTCAACTATGCAAAATTTTAAACGTAAATGTGCAGAACTGCAGTTTGAAATTTTGTATTACTTTAACTATAAATGTGCATTTTCGTGAACCATAATGTGCATCGTTTTGGAGTGTTCTCATTTCTCACATTAAGAAGTGTTCTCACCGAAAAGAACCCTATATATATATGTATATATATATATATATATATATATATATATATATATATATCCTTTCAGCATCAACTGCAACCATACAAATTTACTTTCTTATTAATAACCATGCCAAGTCAAACTTGGGAAGTAAGGACAGAGGCAGTATTTAATTATCTGTTAAGATACACACATAAATACATACATATACACGTAAAAATACACACACGCTCATAAAATAGGGTTCAAGTGAGATCCCATCTTATCAAGAGAACACCTTTAGTCCTTTGCTATGAGAACTTTTAATCTCTACCTTTGATTTTTTTCAAACAATGGCTAGCACTAATAAGGCGTCATTGTTGCAATTATCCTTAACTGAAATGGGTTTTCTTTTCCAATTATCTTTAATATTAGCCATTGACTGGAAAAGTGAAAAGTTCAAATTAATAAAGATGTTCTCATTATATATATATGCATCAGAAAACACTCTTACAGAGAAGGTATTACCATGTGGCAAGCATCTCGCCATCATGTGACAGTGAGCAACCAGAAAGCGGACGATCATCTCCAATCTCACTGCAATCAAGAACTAGAGTTCCTGCTTGGTTTAAAGCTGAATCCACTTCAGCATCCAAATCTTCATCAGGATCATCCCTTTTTCTCCTAGCACGATCAAGACGTGAAGCTGACTTCACAATAGAATACTTTGTGATCTCCAGCCGAGCATCTAAAAGCGCTTTTGATCCTTCAGTATAAAACGGGTATTGAATCTCATCATCATCTTCAGTGGGTCCAGCAGAAGCCGAAAAAGCTTCTTCATCCTCGTGAGCTTTCATCAGCCTTTCCAGATGCCCTTCTGAATCAAGTCTCGCCATAAGTGCCCTCAGTCGGTCCCGTCTCTCCATCTCCCTTTCCCCAAAAAAGGTTATGGGCTCACCGAGCCGGCGAAGACGAGCTCGAACAGCCATGTCATTTGTGGGGACCGCTAGAGCAGCAGCTCTTCGCTTCAGCAGAAGCTCTTGCATCGCTTTTTCTTGTCTCTCTCTCACCAGTCTGCTTTCTTCAGATATCTCGTACTCTTGAGCAGGTTCAACCATTCCAGCACCTGATTCATCATGGTCACAATCTGAATCGCTAGTGTGTTCATCTCCGTTTTGCACCGTTGAAGGAGGCTTAAGTGCCGGCGGTCGAACAGGGAGAGGTGCCAGAGGTGGAGCAACTGGAGGAGGTAAAACCCCGGGTGCTACAAGTGGTTGTATTGGTGGATGTGAAATTGCATCAATAGATGAAACCATGCTTTGATTATCAGTGAGTGTAGAAGAAGGATCCATAGTTGACAAAGAATTCTGTTCATCCAAATCCATACCCTGGACAAGGAAAGCAAATGCAGGTACAGTTAAATCATCATCATAACATAATTTAACAGAGAATATCCAATCCCTAAGGAAATGGTAAATTAGGGATTATGTATTTGAACAGCAATTTTTCTTAGTAAAATAAGAGAATTTGAAAGTTGGAACCATGAAATCTAGGGAGTGAGAAATTTGGATGCTACTCCGTATTAAACTTGAGAGAGAAGAAATAGGAACTAAAAGTTACCATGGATAATTGTTTAAACTCGTTTTATTATCAATATGTTCCGGCAGCCCCTTATTTTCCTTTTAACGTGGTACTGTTTTCAGAAAGTGGCAATTGGGTGGCTGACATTTTGTTTTGAGGAGAGATAAAGTTGATAAACCATATAATCATAAAAAATCATTTTAAGGAAGGTGAAGATAATTTTGGCAAGACGAAAAAGAAAAAAAAAACTATTTGAACAAAGAGAGCATTTCTATTAGGAAAAAGATTGGGGTACACACTTTTTGTACACAAAAAGTGTACACTCGTCTGTCTCCCACAGACAAGTTGTCTGTCGCGAGATGAGTTGTCTGTCCCACACTTTTTGGTTTTCCTATGGATGTCTATTATAAAAAATAGGTCCTTCTAACAATAGGACGATGTTTCAATATTAATGACAGAAGAATGTCTTTCATTTTTCATAAATTAACTTGTTCCATCATTTCCAATGAAGCCAAAGACTCATTATTTTTGGGCTTGGGAATATGATGGTATAAAGCAAAATGGCTAACTAAATTGTCTGTGCTTCTTTGTTACTACTTCCGTCCCAGTGAACGGTTCACATTGCAAAATAGCACTGTTATTTAGACAATAATTAAAAAAGGTAATCCAAGTATATTTTGTTAAATAATTTTGATGGATATATAATATAATGATAACTTAGATTAGATGTTATAGATATATTATTTCAATGATAAGTTAGATGTCATAGATATATTATTTTTAATATTTGATGATTAAATCTACATTTAAGAGTCTTAATTATTTCCTACAATAGAAATGAGAACATTTCTATGGGATGTCCAAAAGAGGAAAGTGGGAACCTTAAAATGGGACAGAGGGAGTATGAAACAGCAGTCAGTTTATGCAATTTTTTACGCGATTTTCATCATGAAACAGTCTCTTTGTGCTTTCGTATAGGGGTAAGACTGCTTACATCCAACCCCATTACCCCACCATAGGTGGGAGCCTTTGGGGCACTAGGGTAATGTTGTGGTTGTTGTTTTCATTAATCAACTATATAATCCAAGAACTCTTCAAATTTAACAATCCAACTAAAATTAAATCACCAAAGCACGCCATAAGTCATTTAAAACTGGAACGTTTCTGAAAAATTACAAATGATACACATTATCATTTATAATTTCATGAAAACACCAATTTTAATTAAACAACAAAACAAAGTACAAACGGAATTATTATTGTATACTTAGACTGTTAAACACAAAGGTTATTGTTAGCATTTCTCTAACCATACATAAATCGTGAAATAAAAAAACAAACTAAACAGAAAAAAGTCAAATACCCTTGTCTGAAATGTGAAAACATATTCTGTAAAGTGGTGTTTCATACCCATCTTTAAAAAATAGGCTGATATAACTTGTAGAGCATGTTTTTCGGCTTATGGACTTATCAGTCAACTTTTTAACCAAACACATAATTTTGATTTCGCGCGCCGAAACGTGTAATAATAACAAAAAGTAGTTACTTTTTACCTATTTTTCATATAATTTTTTCTATTTTATTTAAATAATATATTTTAGGGAAAAGCACAGAAAAGGTACTTGTGGTTGGACCCGTTTTCAGATAGGGTCATGTGTTTCATTCTTTATCAAAGTGGTTCATGTGTTTGAATTCCGTTATCACAAGAGGGTCACGCCGTTAAAAACGTCTGAAAAAGACCGTTAAAAGTAACTCCGAATTTCAAAAGTGCTCGAAAAATTAAAAGAAAAATATCAGAAGGTGTGCCTCAATAAGATGACTGCTAGGTCATCTTTCTTTTTTGTTTTCAGCCACCCTTATCACCGGAAAGTCCACCAGAAAAGTGATATTAGCGAAATCATTTTTAAAAAATAATTCAAACAGATCTGAAAATCCAAAGGCGAAGGTAGTTTGGAGTTCATCTTGATGAGGCGCACCTTTGGGTATTTTTCTTTTAATTTTCCAGTCACTTTTGAAAATCGGAGTTACTTTTAACGGTCTTTTTCAGACATTTTTAACGGCGTGACCCGTGACTCTCTTGTGATAACGGAATTCAAACACATGAACCACTTTGATAAAGAAAGAAACACATGACTCTATCTGAAAACAAGTCCAACCACAAGTACTTTTTCCGTACTTTTCCCTATATTTTAAATATAATTTTTTTCATAAATAAGCCGAATCAGCTCATACATCAACTTCAGCCAGAACTTCATAAATTTAAGCAGAATCGACCGTAGTTGATTCAGCCGAATTCAGCATTACCCGAGACTAGTAGTGGTTCATGTGTGGCCTTTCCACCATCTTAAAAAATCATTCAACAATTGCGGCTAATATCTGAATAATGTAAACAAGATGTAATATTTAATGACAAATTAAGAAAAGGATGGAAGTTGAAGCAGCTACAGACCTACAGTTGAAGATGCAGCACGGAAAAGGAAATACCTTGACCACCGGATGTCTGTGTCAATTTGTCATGAAAGAAGAAGGGCGGCAAATAGCTATAATATGACTGCCGGACTCGAAGGGAAGCCTAATAGCCTAATGGAGCACGCTTATCTTCGATTATTCGACACTTTTAGTTGTACCCCTTTCAATTGGGAGTGGGAGGAGATCTAAACAGATCGGACAATATGAAATTGATCAATTTCGAGAGGGTAAACAAAATATAAAACGTAATTTAATAAGGTATGTTTGCAAAAAAAAAAATTATTTTCACCGACTTTTTTTTATGGAATTCACCGACTTAAAAAAGCTGAAAAAACTATTTCTAAGTGAAAAATTTTGCTTAAATTAAAAGTATAAAAACCAAAAACTAGAATCTACTCTTTATTTTTCTAGGGAATTTTTCAGAAATAGACTAAAGTGAAAGTTATATCAGTTTTTTCACTTCTAAACTTTTCTTTAAAAAATAGACAAGTTAATACTATTTTACGTTCTTTAATTCTTGCAACAGTTTGACTTTCACGTTTGTCAATGCACAACTTTGACTGAAATTATATTTAATTACTCCCTCCGTTTCACAATCAATGTCACGGTTTGACTTCTCTAGGTTTAAGAAAATAAATTGACTTTACTGTAGTGAACACTGTTTAGACACTGTTTGGCACTGTTTGGACATTGTTTGACATTGTTTGGCATTGTTTTGATGTAGATTTATTTGCTAAATAAGGAAATAAGGGAAGTGTGACTTTGTTTTTGAAACATCCAAAAAAAGAAAGTGTGATTTGATTGCAAAACGGAGGGAGTATGTATTAATAAACATTATAAAAAATTGATATTTTGAAAATTCACATTTTTCGGAATTCAATAACATTTTATACGTAATAATTTGATTAGGTATATATTAGTAGTAAATCCTGGTCAAAGTAAAGTTTGTGAATAGTGCAAAAATTACAATGTTGCCACAATTAAAGAAGGAAGGAAAGTACTTTTTTCCAAAAACAGACTATACGGAGTACAATGTATGAAACATTCAGCCCACCAAATTCTCTATTACCCCTATTGTTCTTGGAATTTATTAAGTGAAGACTGCAGGTAGTCTAATGAGTGACTTTCTCTCTATAAATAAACTAGTTTTTATAACGCGCGTTGCGCGATTGGGATAGTGCCCAATGTATTTGATGTAACAATATTTCTTATCGGTTCACAAATTAATATCTACTACATGTAACATATATCTCAATATTATACCATCCATCTCTACATCAAATGATGATGCTAATATAACAACTCGCCACTTAGAGCTGATGGGCACATAAAAATTCAAATTAATTCCTACGAGCTATTCGAAAAAAAATTGACTTCATTTTGACTTGCATATAATTTTCAATTGGCTCCTTTTTACAAAAAAAACATCAAATAGCCTCTATGTTCATGAAATATGATATCCCATTAAAAGGCAATATGTGCCCTCCTCTCCTGAATATATACTTTACTCACCTCACTATAAAGAAACTTCAAACATATAGTGCATTTGCCTTTTGCACAAGTAAACAAATAGAAGTTATGCATTAGACACAAAGACATTGCAAAGACACCTTACAAAAAACAATTGTGTCAAGGGGAATTAAAAAATCTATAGTTTAATGAACCAACACGGAATGAAGCCTTAAACATTAGGATATTAAAATTAGCATATTAATTGTTTTTTCTTCTTAAAACATCTCTAACATCATACCATTTAGAATACACCTGACATTCATTTAGGTTGATTAATAAAATAAAGGAAAAATAGAAAATAATAATCCCAACTATTGCCGCTCCGGTAATAATAATCCCAATTATTTACTTAGTATTATTTTTATATAATCCTAACTATATGGACCGTCCGTCAACAATGGTCCATGATCGGGTATTACTTGCTATAACAGGTCAAATTTAAATAGAAACTAATGTATTCTATAAAGAATCCGAACTATGCTCACTGGCCAGAAATCGAGCAGTGAAAGAAGTAGCAAACAATTGTTTTGGCTATAAACAATCATCATTTTTGTATTCTATAAATGAACCAAACAATGAAAATGAAAATACCAAATTGGACAATTAAGCAAATGAAGAAGCCAATATGAAAAAGAAATTAAGATCATCTCAAAGCCCTGCACCAGCAACTCCTACTTGATCATGGGAATACCCTGTTGGAAAATTTCCCCACTGGCCAGAAATCGAGCTGAGCTCCTCACTAAAGCTTAAATGCTTTTCTTCCAATAGAGAACACTTAAACCCCGAAAAAAGTAAACGTGATGTGGAAAATAATCTTACCTCCCAATGAAAGTTATGAAACACATTGAGCTCAAACTGCCCATAATTTCTCCAGGCTAAAACGTTTTAAAGTTCATAGTAGCTTAAATTAGTTTCTAACATTCGGAGAAACTGAAAACTCATATTAACAAACAGTCAATAAAGCCTAATATATTGTATCATTATCAAATATGCCATGTCATTGCCGTTCAATTTTCTGGGATTTGCTAATTCAGAAGAATCTGAAAACGTACCATCATAATGTAGAAAGAACATTTTACCCTTCTTAGATTTATTAACCACTGAAAGATAAAAGGGGTGGTGCTGAAATTGATAAAACATGATGAAGATCCTCTATCAGGCAGGCACCATGCATGATCAGACATTAAGATTCCTGGATATCTGATTGATTTCAAGATTAGTGCAATCTATAGTCTATACATCCTACAATGACCTAAAGGAGTTCCTTGTGCACAAGGCAGAGTGCTAATTTATAAAGCAAAACAGAGTACTGAAAACCATATACGTTTTTATGTACTGAAAACATACAAAAGTATGCGAGACTCCATAAGTATATACACCAAATATATCATAGAATATCAAATGAACTCCGAATTACTATAAATAAAACCATTTTTTTTGGAAAAGCAATAAACAGTCATCAAGTGTTGTATGATTTGAGTTTAGCTAATTTAATTAAGAAGATATATGGTTACAAAAAAGAGGGAGTCATTTTTATATTGAATATTATTTTCTAAAGTAAATTGTAAAATGTGTCAAAAGTTTTTTTAATGAGATAAAAGCAGTTTAGTAGGTTTGATTTTTGAACATTAATTTGGTATGCCCTTCTAAACTAACAATCAAAGGGTTTCACCTACGGAAGTTGAGTATCTTAACTAACAATCAAAGGGTTTCACCTACGGAAGTTGAGTACAACTTCCGTAGGTGAAACCCTTTGATTGTTAGTTAAGAAGGGCATACCAAATTAATGTTCACTTTTAAGAAATCCTTCTATGAAACTCTTATTAATATGAAAAAACATGCTTTAACAAAACACCAAACAAAAGGTGAAACAAGTACAAGACGACTGAATGAAAATGGGGCAGGACAGCTGAATCAGAAAAACAAATAAACACAGTGGTTGTGCTTCATATAACATTGCATTATCACGTGTTGTCCCATGGGCCTCCGATATTCTTAAGGCTGTCGTGCTCAGTTCCGCCGTGGATGAAGTCAGTGAGCTTAGCTTTTTCAACATTTCCCCCGATTATATCTACACAAGAACATACCCTTAGCAGGCAAACCAATTTTGTCTAATTTAGGAAGCAAGTGCTTTGCCTTCACAAACTTCAAGATTGTTGGATGTAAGTGTTGTTTTTCAATCTTAAATCAAATGGATTCTTATAATTTCAGTCAACAAAGGCCAAGACAAACACAAACTAAAGCATAATAAAAAACATGAGGAAAAGGATTAAAGGCACACGAGAAAAAGAGTGAGCAGTAGGCGAGGGGGGTCTCTGCCAATCGAAGGAAGCGGTGAAGATGAGGACGGCTTTTGGATTATCATAACTTCTACTGCAGAGAATTAAAGAATGATCCATTGCAAGGAGAAATGACCACCTAAACACAAATGAAAAATAAAACTTACAAAAGGGAAGCCCGAATACGACGAAGGGATCCCAAGCGTGGGGTGTGTGCGACCGAAGCCGGTTGGGTAAGACAGAAGCAGGAGGTATATGGCGTATTGGCGTGCTGAGAGGTTGTGGGTAGACTAACAGAAACAAACGTCGTGGTCCAATAAAGGAGATGAGCAATGGGAATCTGAAAGATTAACAAACTTTTAAGCATGTTGTACATGTATACTAAGCCTACAATTACCACCAACAATTTTTTTATACCTAAAATAGGCTTACCATCATTCATCCTTATTAGTTTGTAGAGATTAATAAAAACTTCACCAATCACTCAAAATTTGTTTTTAAATAGAAAAATGAAAATAAAAAATAAAAAAAAAATTAAAATAGATTAAAATGTGGGAAAATTGTACAAATGTTATTTTTAGAAGCGTTTTGTACTGCATAATCTATAAAATGAAATTTAATTAAATTATTGAATAAAGTGAAATATATAATACAAGTATAGAAGCATTAAAAATCAGAAAAAATCGAAAAAAATGAAAAAAAAAATTAAACTTTACAAATTAGAATATTAAACTTTCTAAAATAAATTAAAAAATTTAAGATATAAGAACATTAAAATAGTTTTAAAAAAATAGAGCGAGTAAAAGTTTTAGAATAAAAACTAGATAAAATAATAAAAACTAAAATAAATATATATAAAAATTTATAACCGAGAAAATAAAACTTTTAATAAAATATTATATAAAAAATACATTAAATACTATTTTCTAGCAAAATATATACGGAGTAAAATAAAATTATACAAAAATCAGAAAATTAATGAAACTTAAAAGTGTGTAAAATTAAAAGAAACTCATAGAATTAAAATATGAAAATTTAAAATGATGAACTTTAAAATAGTTAAATACTAAAAAATATGATTTTTTCTAATTTACTTTTTCTTAAATTACTTAAAATTTTCGTTATTAGTATTATCACTTTATTGTTAATTTTTGTTTCTTATGATTTCTTTGTGTTTCTGTTTGTTTATAAATCCGAAATTTTTGTTTTTTATTGTTTCTTTATGTATCAAGTTGGTTTTCATATTCATAAATCGATATAACATTTTAGGTGTTTGAATCTAAATGATATAGACTAATAAATATATATAGATATTTCTATTTTAAAGATGTAGAAAAATAAAAAGAAATTCAAATAAACAACAAAAATCAGATTCAACAATAAACAATTATAAGACTGGTAAAATACAACCGGAACTCTAAGATTGTTAGCATAACTTATGTTAATAATCAAGGAGCTATCTGTTGAGCACACACCAGTCTATGACAAGGAAGACATCTGTCCTCAAAGATGTCATCAAAGATGTGTGTTGGGATATTAGGTCCAGGCCCAATATCCCTAGGCCCAAATCCGGGAAGAAGCTGCAAGCCCAAAGAACTCCTGAACGGCATTCGGGAGTAAAACTTATACTTGGAACATTCTGGGAAACAATTATGCCAAAGTATCAAGGCCCAAATATCGATCGGCGTTCGGGATACTTCGGGTAGAAACTATCACCTATGGCGGGGTCCCACACACCGAACACCTTGCCCGAACGGGCGGTCAGCAAGTGGAGGCCGCATTTAATGCTGGATCATGACAGCTGCAAGTGGGGGCATGAGTGCTTACATGGCAGAGGTGATAGCCTACCAGATTCGGCCACGTATCCACCTTACCCATCCCCATTATAGTATAAATACCCCAGTTTAGATCATTGTAAAGGGTTAGCATTTTAATACTCAGAGCTTAGCAATAGATTTACATCTCTTATCCTTGTACTCTTGTAATCATCTACCGTTCGGGTAGTTCCAGTGTAATCACATATTTATTGAATACCAGTAAACTCCTGAGTTGGACAAATATCTCATTGTTTTATATTTTATACACATTTCAATCCAACCCAATATCCCTACAATATCCAAGGCTTGTGTTGGGCTTTCGGATCTTCAGGAATAAACCTCAACATTGGCGCCGTCTGTGGGAAACTTCACTAAAAGTCCAAGGAAAACCGCTGATCTAAGCACCATTTTTTCTTGAAATGGCTAGGCTTCATACCGCGACACCGAGTTCTACATCCAGGGGCCGAGGAGGCAATAGATCCTCTCAAGGGTGGTCCATGCAAGGACACGCCAGTGGCAGTGCCACCCGAGAGTTCGAGCAGATCATTCCTCGGGACGTAAGGATGAACCCTCAGTTGATGAGGGAGATGGCAGAGCCCATGCAACGCATGGCGGATGAACAGGAACAGGGATACACCGATGAGACTGATGAGCCCCTGTCCCCCATTCATCCTATGTCGTCCTTTAACGGAAGAGAAGACACTGAGACCACCACGGCCTCAGCACATTCCCAGGAGCATCGAGGAAACCGCAGGAGAGCCCACCCTTACGGGCATGCACAGCCAGCCCCAACCAGCCGAACCCCGTCCGCACCTCGGAACGGATATAGGGATCCTACCCCCGTGGTAGACCCCGTTGGACAACACTTCCAGTATATCCAGAGGGATGGGGAACGCTTCATCCGGAGGAGAGCTAACACAGCTGCCCCTCCCCAAAACAGAATACCGGAATATGTGGATGCTAGGATACCACATATTCCCCAACCGGCCCAAGACGACGAAATGGCCGAAATGAGAAGACAGATGACCGAGCTCAGAGAGCAGGTCAATCGGACGCCCCAACAAACCCCGCCAGCACGGGTTGGGATTACATCTCCCTTTACCAGGGAAATCATGAATGCCGAAATCCTAAGGGACTGCCGTCCCTCGACCGGCTTAACATACGATGGGGTGGGAGATCCCCACGTACACCTGAGGAGTTACCAGGGTGGCCTCATGCTATTAGGGGCCACCGACGCGGCAATATGCAGGCTGTTCTTCAGCACCCTTCGGGGGCCAGCCCAGGAATGGTTCGGAACATTACAACCCGGGTCGATCAGAAGCTTTGCGGAGCTATCCACCTTATTCTTAACCCAGTTCGCCTCTAGCACAACCCCGAAACTACATTTCGGGTATCTAACCAGTGTGAGGCAAGGACCTAAGGAATCAATTTCCGGGTTCCTGACCAGGTGGAGGACCGAAACCCTGAAGGTGACCGGCATGACGGATGAGACTGTCATCCTTCTTTTTACTGATGCCCTTCAGACGGGGGATTTATATAGGGAGCTGAAGAGAAATCCGGGAACCAGCTACCCAGACATCCTGGAAAGGGCCAGGGGTCATGCGGCCCTGGAGGAGGAGATCAAGATAAGGGACCGAACGGCCCCACAGCCTCCCACTTCAAGGCTGGCAGAACGTTTGGGACCCGCACCGGCAGCGGCAGCACCTCATCGAAGGACTGCGCGCTTCACCCCCTGGTCATGTCTATAGCCGGTGTTTTTCATTTGGAACACAATGCTATTCCTCCCCCTACTGACACAAGGCCCGTGATGGGACCTACCCCGAATGCCTACTGTAGATACCACCAACGGAATGGACACTTCACAAAGGATTGTCACGCCCTACATGTGGCAATTGAGGACCTGATCCAAAAGGGCTACCTGAGGAAGTATGTCAGCACCAACCTGAACAGCCCTTCCCCCAACCAGCGCCCTCCCCGATCCAATAGCTGAAAGCGGGATGTCCAGCGGGATGCAGAACCCAGTAATGATTCATACCTCCCCCCTATAGAGGAGGCTGAGGGGTCCGGGAATCCGGGAAAAAAGCCACGATTGGAGGTGAAAGTCATCTTTGGTGGAGGAGAGACCGGGGATACGGCCGCCGAACGTAAGAAATTTGAGCGCAGCCTCTATGTCGCCACTGTAGCTGCACCTCCCACAAAGAAGGGCCGCTTGGAGCCAATTACGTTCGGGGTGGCTGATCTACCCAACTCACCAAGTCCGCACAGGGACGAGCTAGTGGTGAGTATGTGTATAGACAACGCCTTGATCCACCGAGTTCTGGTGGACACGGGGAGTAGTGTGAACGTGCTGTATTTACGCACGTTGGAGAAGATGAAGCTGAAGAAGGACCAGTTGACCAGGCTGAAGACGCCGCTGGCTAGCTTCACCGGCAATGTAATAGAGGCTGAGGGCACCATCCAGCTTCTGGTGGAAATTGGTGATGAAACTCACCGAGCGGCAGTCCGGATGACGTTTGTGGTGGTGGATATTGCATGTGCCCACAACGCCATATTGGGTCGTCCAGGGCTAGAAGATTTGGAGGCAATTGCTTCTGTTCGACACTCATGTATCAAGTTCCCAACTGACACTGGAGTAGGAGTGGCCCGAACAGATCCAGCCATAGCCCGAACGTGCTATAGGGAGGCTTTGAAACAAATGACCACCCGGGGACAACGGGTAAACAGCATTGAGGTGCAGACCCGGCGTACGGAATTTGAAGGGCGCCCCGAACCAGCCACCCTCCTAGAGTACATCGAACTTGATTCCCCTCCCGATCGTAAAATTGCGATCGGGGTGGACCTCGAAGGGGAAATCAGGGAAGGGGTGATCGCTGTCCTGAAGAGATTCCAGGTCCTATTTGCCCGAGGACCCGAAGACATGCCGGGAATTGATCCGGTCCTCATCTGCCACAAGTTGGCCGTTCGGCCTGATGCCAGGCCAGTCCAACAAAAGAAAGGATATCAGGCGGCCGAACGGCGGGAGTTCACAAAGCAGGAGGTAGCCACCTTACTAAGAATCAGGCACATTAGACCAGTCGTCCATGTCGAATGGTTGGCTAATGTGGTCCTTGCTCCAAAAGGATCTACTTGGAGAATGTGTGTGGACTACTCCGATCTGAACAAAGCCTGCCCCATGGACCCCTATCCTGTCCCACGAATAGACCTGCTGGTGGACGAAACAGCCGGATGTGAACTGCTGAGCTTTATGGATGCCTTCCGGGGTTATCACCAAGTCTTCATGCACCCAGATGATGCAGAAAAGACTGCGTTCGTCACCTCGGACGGCGTGTTCTGCTATATCGTCATGCCATTCGGGTTGAAGAATGCCATGGCCACTTTTCAAAGAATGATCGGCATGCTCTTCAAAGAGGTACTGGGGGTAACCATGGAAGCATATGTAGACGACATCCTGATCAAGAGCAGGAAGGAGGATCATGTCCGGGACATGGAAAGGGT